TTTTTGACTATCTCACTTCTTGCCATGAGTCATTGCTATACACACCCTAACACCGAGATCCTCTACCTAGGGGATTTCAATGTACATCACAGACAGTGGCTTGGTTCTGCAAGGGATGACCCAGGTGGAGCTGAGGCACTCTCTTTTTCCCTACTTAATGATTTGGAACAAATAATTAAACACCCTACACGCGTTCTTGATCAACACGATCAACTTGCTAACATTCTTGATCTTTGTTTTACCTCTAACCCCTCACACTAGTCATACTCAATTTTTGCTACCTTTAGGGTCTTCTGATCACAACCTTATTTCTATCAAATCAAACTGGGCACGACCACCTCCCCCATCCCCTTCTAAGCATCAACTATGGCAAAATCGGAGGGCAAGCTGGCAATCCTTGCGAGAATTCTTCACCGACTTTCCTTGGGATGAATTTTGCCTTTCCACTCGGGATGCCTCGGTATGTGCTGACAGCATTGCTGGGGTTATACAGGGCGGTATGAGTGCATTTATCCCATCTTTTACCAAAACTTTCACATTACAATCATGGTTTGATCGCTCCTGCTCTCTTGCTTGCAGGGTGAGAGAGAGGGCATATCGAGCTATAAAACTATCTCCTTCTCCTATTACCTACACCTCTTTCATTACTTCTAGGAATCGTTGTAAGGCTATTCTTCGTAGGGCCAAGCGGAATTGTATTAAAAGAAAGACCGCTGTCCTGACTAATTCTTCTCTAGTAAATCCTTTTGGTCCTTAACTAAAAACATCTGTAACAACTTCTGTACTCCTGCTTTTCCTCCTCTCTTCTGACCCGATAACTCTATATCCAACTCTCCCCCTGACAAAGCCAACCTTTTTGGCACCTTATTCTCCTCTAATTTCACCTTGGACAATTCCCACTCTATCCCTCCTACCCCTGCACCTCCTACTGAACCTATGTACTTTCCTTAATCTCCACTCGCAGGGTTACCGGTGTGTTATCCAGGTTGGATGTGAGTAAGGCGCATGGACCGGACGGAATACCCCCTCGTGTTCTGAGGGAGTGTGCTGAAGCCCTGGCTCCTGTGCTTGCTCGCCTCTTTCGCCTCTGCCTCAAAACCCAAACTTTTCCTTGGAACCATACCTTGGATCAGCCCATCCCAAAGAAGGGTGACCATTCTAATCCCTCTAACTATCGCCCCATTGCCCTAACTTCATCCCTCTCTAAGATTTTCGAAACTATCTTGAACTCCCATTTTCTCCGTCACCTTGAACGCCATTCTCTTTTGTCGGATCACCAGTATGGCTTTCGCCAGGCGAGATCTACTGGTGATCTGCTCTCCTATTGCACCCATCTTTGGTCATCCTCTCTTAGGGATTATGGGGAAACTTTTGTCGTGGCCCTCGACATTTCCAAAGCATTTGACAGGGTATGGCACAAGTCTTTGCTATCTAAACTTCCCTCTTTTGGTTTCTCTTCCCCACTTTGTTTTCTCATCTCTAGCTTTCCTGAGAACCGATCGATGGCAGTTGTTGTCGAGGGATCATTCATTCGCTCTTTCTCTACCAGTAGTGGTGTCCCACAGGGTTCTGTTCTTTCACCTACTCTCTTCCTTCTTTTTATCAATGATTTACTTCACACTACAACTAATTCTATCCATTCTTACGCCGATGATTCTACTCTTCACTCTTCTTCACATTTTCCCTTTCCTCCTAACTCTCAAACTAGATCTGTTTCTAGAACTAATATCATTACTTCTATCAATGCGGATCTGTGCAGCATCTCTGAATGGGGAGGTACGAACTTGGTTAAGTTCATTAGTAATAAAACTCAATATTTACCAATTACACTTTCTAAATTAGACGATCTCCCACCAATTACATTTCAGGACGCTATCATTCTGCCAAATTCTGAAATAAATATGTTAGGCCTCACCATTTCCTCCAATATGTCCTGGAAATCACACATCCTTAGTATAGCTAAAGCTGCCTCCCTAAAGTTGGGAATGCTGTACAGATGCCGTAGCTACTTCACTCTTGAGCAGTTGCTCCAAGTACTGTATATAAGGGATTCATTCGTCCTAACTTGGAGTAATGCTCTCATATCTGGGGTGGCTCTTCATCTGTCCAACTATTAGATAGCGTGGAATGAAAGGCATTTCGTCTTATTAACTCTCCTCCTTTAGTTGACAATTTCTCTTCCCTTTCTCTTCGCCGCAATGTTGCTTCACTCTCTCTCTTTTACAGATACTTTAACGGGCAATGTTTGGTGGATTTGGCATCCTGTGTACCGCTGGCAAGGCCGTGGGCTCGTAACACACGTCTTGCCCTCGGTGCCCACCGTTTCTCTGTGGATGTCGGTCACACGAGAATAACCCGTTATAGTACCACCTTCTTTCCTCACACAGCCAAACTGTGGAATGCTCTGCCTCCTTCTGTGCTTCCGTACTTATACAATCTGTCTCACTTTAAAAAACTGGTTTTCTGGCATCTTCGTGGGTAGATTAACACGATATAACCTTTTTGTTCTCTATTTTCAATTTCTCTCTGTTCTTTTTTTTTCGCCCCCCAGGCCCTATTGTGGGCCGTTTGACCTGTGCCCGGGTGGGCTAATTAAAAAAAAAAAAAAAAAAAAACTGTAACTGATTGGAGAGCTTGTGACCTATGGGGAGGCTCCTGGTCCGGTAAATAAAGCACACTAATACATGTACTACACTAGTGACCACCCTTTGTCTACATGACGCTACAATACTTGTATACAGTAATACCCTGATTTACGCTGTCAATTGAACCCGCGGAGGTCCGTGTAAAACGAGAAATGCGTAAATGGAATAACAGAACATATGGGATTAATTGAAATAGAGACTGGGCCGATTCCCAAACTCCACTTTTTCGGACACAATACCGACACAATCCCTATGTTGTAGTAAAAATAACATCTTAATTTTATGACGGTATGCACACACAATTAATATTTAAGAGAAATACAGTCGCCAGGTTAATGTCCATTCAAATAATGGACTCAACTCCCCTCACCACCCCTCTTTCAACGCTCGCTGGCTCCTTCCTCGCTGAGAAATGTTTGGGTGAAAACACTAGATTTTAAGGTATAGTAATAAATAATACCTTAGACTAAAGTTAGGATAATATAATTGACATTGCTGGATTCCTTGCAAGACCAGGAATATTTTGAATATACACGTCATTTATTTTGCACAAAAGATAACATATTTGCTCTGTGTAAACAAAATTCTTGCATTAGATCTAAAATTTGTATGTCTAATGCAAAATCCATGATGTTTACATTCAAAATGATCATCATATTGTAAGAATTCCAGCAATGTAAATTATATTCTGGCCGGGTAATTTGTATGAATTTTATGGGCTAAAACAAATATCTTCAGTAAATAAAAAAAAATATACTTCCCCCAGACATTATCTGTCAATCAAAATACCCCACCTCCGGCTCCTCCCCTCTTTCCACGCTCGCTGGGTCCCTCCCTCCCTCCCTACCCCCCACCCCCCACCTTCCCTCCCTACCAGAGATATGTTTGGGTTAAAACAGTTTATTTACATTTTTAGTAATAAATAATACTTCAGACTAAAGTTAGGATAATATAATTGACATTGCTGGATTCCTTGCAAGACCAGGAATATTTTGAATATACACGTCATATATTTTGCATAAAAGATATCATATTTGCTCTGTGTAAACAAAATTCTTGCATTAGATCTAAAATTTGTATGTCTAATGCAAAATCCATGATGTTTACATTCAAAGTGATCATCATATTGTAAGAATTCCAGCAATGTAAATTATATTCTGGCCGGGTAATTTGTATGAATTTTATGAGCTAAATAAAAAAATTATACTTCACCCGCGTATATGAGTAGATGCACCGCGTAAAGTGTGAATTCCGGTTCTGGCAGGGTACCGCGTAAATGTAGAAACGCGTAAACCAGAACCGCGTAAAGCGGGGTATTACTGTACACTATATATTTTTTTTGTGCAATGAATGTCAAACAAAGTCAACACAGCTCATTATAAATCGTGGGTTTTTGTTTTTGTAACATGTTTACGAGTTTGTCAGGTTGCATTCTGAAAGTTTTCAGATGTCACCTGTCATATGGCTGTCTCTTATTCTCGGTATAACTCCTGTGGTGAGAGAAATCAACATACCAATAATACATCGAAACAAGCATTCTCAAGTGTTTTAAGCTCTGTAATATTCCGAATCTTTAGGACAATAGCCTGAAGGTCTAATTCATGGGTGTCAAACTCAATTGCCAAGGCGGGCCAGATTTAATATGAGTACACAGCATGCGGGCCAAGTAACATAATTATGAGCACTTCGCCATCACCTCTTAGGTGAGTAGTACTACAAAATAAGAAAGGTGGATTTAGTCTGCGCTCGTGCGAAACCCTTATAAAAAAACAAACAAATCAAGTGTTTTCTTACCTTGATCAATCTTATTGTTTGCTACTGCTGCTTCCTGATAATTGGCACCTCTTGGTATGGACCAGTGCATCAAAGTTTGGCACTAACGACTGAGCTGTAGCAACCTTCAGTATTGAATTAAGGTGAGCATCAGTAAGTTGAGACCGAAGCCGAGACTTGTTCGAGTTCATCACAGAAAAGAGTTGTTCACAGACATATGTACTTCCGAACATTGACATAATGTTTAAGGCAAAACATTTAATCCTGGGATAATTTGGTCCAAAATATTGATAAAATGTGCCAACATCAACACTCGAAAACTTGTTTCTCAACACAGAATCACACTGGAGCTCAATTAAATCTAACTGAAGATGTTCTGGTACCTCATTAACACCAACAGAGAATGGGTCCCAAAAAATGAAAAAATCCGTCTCAAGTCTTTTTAAAGTCATCAAATCTTTCATGGAACTCATTCATTAATTTGGAAATCTTGATGCAGTACTTTTTTGTGTTGATATCAGCATGAAACTCAGGTGTGCCTTGCAGGGACTTCAAGGTTGGAAAGTGAGAAAGATTACGCCCTCATAGTTGCCGTTCAAAAAGCTGAAGTTTCATCTCAAAGGCACGAATGCAGTCATAAAACTCTGTCACCAATTTATTGCGTCCTTGCATCTTTGTGTTCACGTAATATAAGTGTTCTGTAATATCCACCATGAAAGTTAGATCTTGAACCCATTCATTATCTTTCAGTTCATGCAAATCCCTTCCTTTCTGTTCCATAAACATCTGTATTTCACTGCGCAATTCATAAAATCGCTTCAGTACGACTCCCCGTCTTAACCAGCGAACATCAGTGTGATATGGCAGTCCGTGTGTGTTCTCATTTTCCTCCAATAAGCAGTTGAACTGTCTGTGGTTCAGACCTTGCGCGTGTATGAAGTTCACTGTCTTTATAACAACATCCATGACTTTATCCATCTTTAATGTTTTACTACACAACACTTCTTTATGTATAATACAATGCACATTATAAATTTGATGGTTCGGGTTCACAGCTCTTAGTTTTTCCTTTAATTTTGTTGCCACGTCAGCTTTTCTACCCATCATTTGCGGTGCTCCATCTGTAGCCAGACTCACAGTTTGTGCCCAGTCAACACCTAATTTATCCAGTGCCCCCACCAAACCCACAAAGATGTCCTCACCTGTTGTTGTTCCTTTCACTGGTACCAGTTTCACAAATTCTTCTGTTACCTGCATATTTTCATCCACACCACGTATAAAAACTGCAAGTTGTGCTACATCACTTACATCGGTACTTTCATCAATTGTAACTGAAAATGCAGTAAAGGACTTAACTTTGTCTTTGAGTTGACTGTTAATATTCTCTGATAATTCACCAATTCTTTCTGCAACTGTATTTCTTGAGAGGCTTATGTTTGCAAATGCTTGACGTTTTTCCGGGCAAATATCTTCTGAAGCCATCAACGTATATTTCTTTATATAGTTCCCTTCAGAAAATGGCTTCGATGACACAGCTATTTCATGGGCAATCCTGTAACTTGCCTTAACTGCAGCATCACTGACTTGATGAAAACTCTTAAATATTGACCGCTGCTTTTTCAATGACTGCTCCAACTCCTTAACTTTGTCTTCACGTAACTTTCCACTATATTTATTGTACTTCATAGCATGGTTAGTTTCATAAGGCCTTTGAACGTTGTATTCTTTGGCCACAGCAACTTGTTGATTACAAATCAAACATGTTGGTTTTCCATTCATTTCAACAAAAAAGTATAAGATTTTCCACTTATCCTGTACCACCCGACGCTCTTCATTAACTGTTCTTTTCTTTGAAAACATAATTATGGGCTTAAAAGAAAAAACAATGATCACTGCTGCTTTGGATATTTGCAACGTTCCAACTGCCTCGAGCGACTATGCAGGACTAGTACTTGAATGACTGGCCAAGCGAGAGCCTGCCGCGTCAGAGTTTTCATGTCTAATACCTGTACTGTACGGAGTGTATACGTGAACAGTAGTCAGTCGGCTGTCTCACAACTCATACAGTGGCACGCTTACAACCACAATTAACCGTTAAAACTATCTCTAGTCTTATTGTTCTTTCATTGGTGATGTTGATTGAGTATTTTGTTCTAGGAAACAGCAGACTATTTTATTCAGCTGAGGGATACACTCACAATATAGTTTTAGCTCCTCAAGGTAAGGCTGGAGCAGCGAATGGGCCGCGGCCCGCATGTGGCCCACGGGCCGCATGTTTGACACCCCTGGTCTAATTTAACCAAACAAAACCACCGACCAGTAAATTAGAGGCACATGTTATTTGCTCATTACAGTATAGATACTGTTCTTATATATTGAAAGGTACTGTACATTTACGTTGCTGTGACAATAGTTCTCACTTTATGCCAGTGTTTTTCCTGTCAGGTATTATTAGCTTGTTAATAAAGGTTAGCACCTTAGCCTGTAATGCACTACCCTTTCTATAGCTACACTGCACAAATTTAACCAATGTGTATTTTTATTCCATTGATTTCTTACCGTAAATTCCCTTGTGGTTTCTGCGTTTACTCAAAATAAGTAAAAAAAAATCATCTCACTTTATTTGGCTTATATTAACTATTCTTCCACATTTCCTTTTGCTTTCTGGTATATAACTTGAATGTAGGTTTGAGTAAAGGTATAGAAACAAATGTAATAAAGACAATAGGGAAAGAGTATGGTCAATATTTAGAAGTTTCCACCAGGCAACTGAATATTGAGTCATATATGGCAACTTCTAAATATTGACCAAGAGTATGAGTCGACTCAAAATTGTATGTCGGGATTTTGGTATGTTTTGGGATGTACCATTCTGAGAAGCAATTAAAGTTATCGGATACTTTCTTAACCACTATAATAGCGAAATACTCGTCTAGAAGTTACAGTAAGAATGTATAGTACAGTAAGTCCGCGCTTAACGTCGTCCCGCTTAATGTTGTTTTGGAAATACGTCGCTAAACTTTAGAGACCAAAAATTCGTTTAACGTCGTTTTGTGTCGTCACAGACTACTTTCTATGGCGCACCACCCTCTCTTGTTTGGCCGAGCTAAGCTGTCTCGGCTCGGTGCAGAGTCTCAGTAACTCACCACCCTCCTCCACCGCTCCTGCCATACTCCATCCCTTCCCGCCATCCGCCTCCTCCGCTTCACTACCCACCACACACTCACTTTACCACCTCCACCCATCGATGAGTACCAATACAATACAGTACAGCTGCTCCCCGACTTACGACGGGGTTAGGGACCGACATGTAAGTCGAAATGGTCGTAAGTTGGAAATGCTAAATGCACCACAAAACACTCACTTTTAAGCTTGCCAGCCATTTTAAAGTGAATTACAGATGAAAACTTTGTCTGTACAGTACTGACTTTGGGACTCGAAAATACGTAATTTGACCAAATTTTGGTACGACTGAGGCAGGTCGTAAGTGCGGGTGGACGTAAGTCGAGTAGGTCGTCAGTCGGGGAGGTGTTTTAGTTGTATATGCATGCACTATTTTCTATAGAACTGGCAATGATTTTCTGTATATGTAATGTATTTCATGGGGCAAAGGGAGGCTCAGGAATATAACTCCCGTATTTTATCAATGTCTTATGGGGAAAATTGATCTGCTTAACGTTGTTTCGTATAACGTCGCATTTTTATGAATGCAACCCTGACATAAAGCGAGGACTTACTGCAGTAGAGATTTCAAAGTCAGGAAAGTTGGTGCCGTTACTTTGCGGTTGCGTCTCCCCCTGTTCGCCCTCTTTTATTCGGTTTTCTGGGGAGCGAATATTGCTGGTCCCTTCGTAATATGAAATTTGTTCAGTAAGTAAAGATAGGTTGTTAATGAAGTGTTAGAAAGATAAAATATTGTATAAATTTATTATTGTAAACAGCAAATACACTATATGTTTGGTAAATGTGCTCATTAACTGTTTTTGTTGTAGATCTCGACGGCGGAGCGACAGGTGTTCGACTTCTTGGGCTACATGTGGCTCCCCATCATCGCCAACTTCTTCAACTTCATCTTCGTGATATTCGGTTTCTTTGGCGCTTACCAGTACAAAACAAAATACATAGTCATAGTAAGTATTATCCCAACCATTAACTTAACAGCACAAAACAAAATATATAGTCATAGTAAGTATTATCCCAACCATTAACTTAACAGTACAAAACAAAATATATAGTCATAGTAAGTATTATCCCAACCATTAACTTAACAGTACAAAACAAAATATATAGTCATAGTAAGTATTATCCCAACCATTAACTTAACAGTACAAAACAAAATATATAGTCATAGTAAGTATTATCCCAACCATTAACTTAACAGTACAAAACAAAATATATAGTCATAGTAAGTATTATCCCAACCATTAACTTAACAGTACAAAACAAAATATATAGTCATAGTAAGTATTATCCCAACCATTAACTTAACAGTACAAAACAAAATATATAGTCATAGTAAGTATTATCCCAACCATTAACTTAACAGTACAAAACAAAATATATAGTCATAGTAAGTATTATCCCAACCATTAACTTAACAGTACAAAACATAGTCATTGTATTGAAATAACGTGGTTACATAACATTCACACGCATTTTCTGGTGCTAGCATTCACACCACCAGTGATACCTTGTTTTACCCACAACACCAGTGATACCTTGTTTTACCCACAACACCAGTGATGCCTTGTTTTACCCACAACACTAGTGATACCTTGTTTTACCCACAACACTAGTGATACCTTGTTTTACCCACAACACCAGTGATACCTTGTTTTACCCACAACACTAGTGATACCTTGTTTTACCCACAACACCAGTGATGCCTTGTTTTACCCACAACACTAGTGATGCCTTGTTTTACCCACAACACCAGTGATGCCTTGTTTTACCCACAACACTAGTGATACCTTGTTTTACCCACAACACCAGTGATGCCTTGTTTTACCCACAACACTAGTGATACCTTGTTTTACCCACAACACCAGTGATGCCTTGTTTTAGCCACACCCCTAATTCCTCATTTTACCCCAACACCAGTGATACCTTGTTTTACCCACAACACTAGTGATACCTTGTTTTACCCACAACACTAGTGATGCCTTGTTTTACCCACAACACCAGTGATGCCTTGTTTTACCCACAACACCAGTGATACCTTGTTTTAGCCACACCCGTAATTCCACATTTTACCCACAAAACCAGTGATTCCTTGTTTTAGCCACAACACTAGTGATGCCTTGTTTTACCCACAACACTAGTGATACCTTGTTTTACCCACAACACCAGTGATGCTTTGTTTTACCCACAACGCCAGTGATACCTTGTTTTACCCACAACACCAGTGATACCTTGTTTTAGCCACACCCGTAATTCCTCATTTTACCCACAACACCAGTGATTCCTTGTTTTAGCCACACCCGTAATTCCTTGTTTTGCCCACAACACCCGTGATACCTTGTTTTACCCACAACACCTGTGATGCTTTGTTTTTTCCACAGTACCTGGTATGGCAGCTGGTATGGATGGGATGGAACGTGTTTGTCATATGCTTCTACCTGAACGTGGGTATTCTCGATAACAGCAAAGATTGGCTCAACTTTGGAACTGGGAGTGCATCATGGTGGGAGGTCAGTCACTGTTTTAGTTGGTCAGATAATATACAGTAGTACATTGGTAACTATTGTAATGGGGGGATTTAGAGGTAGGCAGTATAGATAGAATATTTAGTCGTAGGCTAAAGTGAGGAAGTTTGGTAGCGTGGCCGGTTAGTTATTTATCTGTATATATTATACATTCTTAGGGAAAATCTTCTAAACCACCCAATTCTAAGTACAGCTATTTATTATTCATCAGTGACACAGACACTTAATAGAACATTATATCGAAGTTACTAGAACACAAACATAAAATGGATACACTTCCCACCGAAAGTAACTCACCCTATGGATAGCTCTGACAAAGACTCACGTGTGACTTAAGGGAGGCCTAGCGGGTGCTGCTGGACTATGTCTCCTATGGGAGGCTCTTCTAGCTGGAGACGCGGTGTGGGGAGGGAAGTCTCCCTCCCGACCCCGGCTAGTGACGAGTGTGACTCCGTGAAAGTGATCTGAATAAATGAATGAGAATGACCCGTGGAAGGAGCTGCAGGGTCTTTATATTGGAGGAGAGCCGGCAGATGACCTCTCCCAATTAACACTAAACTGGTTTTGATCTGGACAACTGTGTTTGCCCAGGTGCGTGGTCATGTCGCAGGTCAGTAAAGCTTCCTAATTATTACTGCCCAAGTATGTCTTGGCTGGGTGTGGTTTCATTAACACGGTTATATCACACAGTTAACTCAAGTACTTAGTGGCCGTCAGCTCTCCTGGGACTGTAGGGTGTGTCAACTTATGTGGGTTACCACGAGGGCATCTACTTACTGTTATATGTGCTGTAATTCTCTGGGCTGTAAGCTGTGGTCTGATAAACAATCATTACAATATTGTTATTATCTATAGGTAATAAATTTTCTCAGATATTTTTTTAATATCAGTACAGTGATACCCCGATTTACGATTTACGCAGTCAATTGAACCCACGGGGTACCGCGTAAAACAAAACCCCCGTAAATGGAATAACAGAACATATGGGATTAATTCCAATAGAGACTGGCCCGACCCCCAAACTCCACTTTTTCCGACACAATGCCTATATTGTAGTAAAAATAACATCTTAATTTTATGATGGTATGCACACACAATTAATATTTAAGAGAAATACAGTTGCCAGGTTAATGTCCATTCAAATAATGGACTCAACTCCCCCCTTCCCACCCTCACTGGCTCCTCCCTCTCTGAGAAATGTTTGGGTGAAAACACTAGATTTTAAGGTATAGTAATAAATAATACCCCAGACTAAAGTTAGGATAATATAATTGACATTTCTGGATTCCTTGCAGGCCAGGGAATATTTTGAATGTAAATTTCATATATTTTGCACAAAAGATAAAATATTTGCTTTGTGTAAACCAAATTATTACATTAGATCTAAAATTTATATGTCTAATGCAAAGTCCATCATGTTTATATTCAAAATGATCATCATATTGTAAGAATTCCAGCAGTGTAAATTATATTATGGCCGAGTAATTTGTATGAATTTTATGAGCTAAAACAAATATCTTCACTAAATAAAAAAAATATACTTCACCTCCGGCCCTCTTTCCACGCTCGCTGGGTCCCTCCCTCCCTACCAGAGAAATGTTTGGAAGAAAACAGTATATTTACATTTTAGTATAATAAAATTGACATTTCTGGATTCCTTGCAGGTCAGGGAATATTTTGAATGTAAACTTCATATATTTTGCCCAAAGGATAAAATATTTGCTTTGTGTAAACCAAATTATTGCATTAGATCTAAAATTTGTATGTCTAATGCAAAATCCATGATGTTTATATTCATAATGATCATCATATTGTAAGAATTCTAGCAATGTAAATTATATTCTGGCCGGGTAATTTGTATGAATTTTATGAGCTAAATAAAAAAATTATACTTCACCCGCGTATATGAGTAGATGCACCGCGTAAAATGAAATTCCGGTTCTGGCGAGGTACCGCGTAAATGTAGAATCACGTAAAGCGAAACCGCGTAAATCGGGGTATTACTGTAGTTACACACCATGGGGAGGGAAAGTTCTTGTTTTTTAATATGAGTTATTTCATGTGAGTTATTTGCAGGTTAATGGCATTGGATGTCAGGCAGTATATACAACCAACTTAACAAACCTAGACCCGCTGCGGCCAATGAGGCCCTTGGAGGTGAATAATTGCCTAGTCGATTACATCTACGTGGAAACTATTCATGCTGGTATCCAGGGTGCTTTTGTGGTAAGCATTTTTACTTTTTACTTTGGAGTCCAGTGTAGCATAGTATGGTACAGCATATTAACCTATTTTGATTGATTATTAATTTCTTGTTTATATAGTAATGTGATCTAATTTTAATTAAATTTGTTGCAAAATAAGTTGTCCCCGAGAACTGCGACATACAGTACATAATATGAATACATCATATGATGGAATGTAAGTTTTAAAACTTCATGAGTGTGGGGAGGTATTTCGAGGGTGTGAGGAGGTCTGTGGGGGTCGTGTGAGCATGGGGAGGGCTGTAGGGGGCATGTGGATGCCTATTTTTTTTTTCCATACTTTTGTATGCAGTCTTTAATGTTATAGGTGTGTAATTACTTTTGGAGAAAATCTGATCTGTGTGAAGAATTTTACCAAAAACTAGAGTGACCAACAAGTAGAGGACATGCTTATCTGTCTGCACACAGCTTCTCACTGCTTTTTGGAAGTTTCCAGTTTCTGCTGGTTGTGTGTCATACACAGATAACCCCAAAATAGCTGTATTGTATAAAAAATGAAGCTTAAAATCATTTCTTCAGAAGATTCCACCAAGGATAAAATACTAGTAAGGATAGTTCACCAAGCACTTGTTTTTACACACAATGCACAGCTCAGTGATGTTACTGTTGTAAACACATCATCTAATAATAAATACTAATAATAAACGGTTTATTAATAGAGTTGCAGCCTGTAGCTGAAAATATACAAACTTACATGTGATTTAGACAAAATAATATACATTCAATACATTTACAGGGCTGTACAGTACATAAATCAGGAGCTGTTTATTATTTTAACAATAGATGGGATGGTGCTGTTCTATATCTATCAGTACGGGCTCTTATGGGCTGAATTTTGTTGTAGTGGCAGACTGCTCGAGGTGGATGGAGGACTACTGGTGGTAGTAAGTGGCGATGGCGAGGATGGTGCAGTAGTCCACCACCAAACCCTGCTAGTGCTTGGTGGTGGAGGTCACTGAGGGATGGCATTTCCAGGGTGGAGAGAGCGTTGTTGTAGCCCGAGTAGTCTGCGCCGAGCATGATTCTGCAGGCCCTCTTCTGTACCTTCTCAAGCTGACGTTGTTGGGTAGAATTGAGAGAAGACGGCCAGGCTCGTGACACATACGATAATTTGGGGAGAATAAATGCGTTGTAGATAGTCCTCAGCTCTGGCATGGGTGCCCCAAGTGACCTGAGTCGTTGTAGCATGTAGAGTCGGTACGAGGCTGCCTTGATTGTGTTGTTTACATGGGCCTTCCAGTCCAGTTTGTGGTCTACTGTATAGTTACAGCCAGGAGTTTGGCAGACTGCACTAACTGGAGAGGATGGGCACCCGCTGTAACTGCTGGAGCTTGCACTGGAGTGGTGGCATATTGAAGTGCATGACTACGGTTTTGGTGTGATTGATGGTGACCTTGTTCTCCGTAGTCCATGCCTGTAGCCTGTCCAGGGTGCCTTGTAGCGATGAGCAGTCTGGTGAGGTGTTGTCCACTGTAACCCCTACAGTGCAGTCATCCATGTACTTCCACCTGTGAGGAGTGTCCAATAGAGAGTCATTGATCAGGATTAGGAAGCACAGTGGTCCCATCTTGGTCCCCTGGGGAACACTTCAGGTGAGGTGTTGGAATGTGGAGACAGAACCCTGGTACCTCACTGCCTGACGACGCTCACTCAGGAAATTAGTGAGCCATGAGACCAGGTTGGTGGGCAGCCCTAGTGCAATGGTCTTGTTGATAATAGTGCAGTGATCAACAAGGTCAAAAGCCTTCCTGAAGTCAACAAGGGCAACGGCCAGTGATGTCTTACATTTCTCCAGATTTTTTTGCAGAAAATCCAGGAAGCTAACTAAGCAGTGTGATGTAGAGGAGGCCCTCATATTGCCAAATGGCTGTGGATCAATTGACTGATAAATACTAGCAAATGCCCATTCAAAAACAAAGTCTTCATAGAGTAGACAGGGTATGGGGGTAATGGCAACTGGCCTGAGGTCACTAGGGGACTAAGGGATGAGGACCTTGGGGATAGGGGTGAGGGGTGACAAATGCAGTTTTCCATTCATTGGGAGGTCAACTGGGGTTGTAGAGCATTTGGATTTAAATTTCAGGAGTTTGTTGGCAATTTCAAATGGTTGAACACTGGGAGGGGGAAGGAGGGGGAGGGTGAGGTCAAGACTGGGTAGGGTATGACATATGGTAGCAAAGTGCTTATTAATTGTCTCAGCTGCCTCCTCCTTAGGTAAATGAGAGATAAAAGGAAATGTGGGAGACTGACGGTTAAGACCACAGAGATCTTTTACCTTAGATTACCACTGACCATTGCCGACCTCCTTGAGGCCGTGCACTTTCCTGGGATATTGACTTCTTGGCTGACTTGATTTCCCTGATGACCTGGTTACGTAGACTTCTGTACTGGCGGTTGTTGGTGTAGTATGCCTTGTTGTGCTGCTCAATTAGTCTTTTGATACGGGGTGTAATCCACGGGACATCATCAGGGTGGATCCTCAGTGTCTTGGCTGGAAAGAAGTGGTGGTAGGCTTTGGTGATAGTGTCCAGGTAATTATCCCACTTGTTCTGCACATCGTCTACCGTGATCACTTCTGTCGAGGGATACCGGGTCACCCATTGTCTGATACGCCGCATGGCAGAGTCAGGGGTAGGTCGGTAAGTCCTGGTGACAACTGGCTGTCGTTAGATGGTAGGTGTAGGTGACCACAGAAGAGACAGGGGGGGTAGTGGTTGCCGAGATCAGTTATGATGAGATCCAGGGTGAAATTCCCATGTGTAGGAAAGTCAACTATCTGTACAAGGTGGAAGTGTTGGGTGATGTTGCTGATGTGTAACTCATTAAAGTCACCGCATATCACTAGCTTAGCACATGGAAATCTGGATCTCAGGGAGTTAGCAGTGTCTATTACTATATGAGTAACCAGTATATTGGCGGTAGGTGAGTGCGGGGGTGATGAGCCACACAAGCAATGAGGGAGTCAAGCTGGCGGAGGTGGGAGTGACCTTAACCCACAAAGCTTCTACATCCTCAGGTACATTAACACCTAGGTGTGATGGTTTAAGGTCAATGCGGCAGTAAAGCACCACACCACCACCTCGCCTGTTCTTTCTTAGATGGTGAAATAACTCGTAGTTTTCTAAGGCACACAGATCTCAGGAACAATTTGCCACGCCTCTGTTATCGCCACAATACCAACTGACTTCACTGTGACACTGACCTCCTCCACCTTGTTGCATAAAGATGTTAACATTGGACAGCAATAGGGATGGTAGGCTGTACCATAGTCGCAGCACTTCATAGCGAGCACACTGTCTTTCAGGCACTGGCTTGACTTTCTTATGCTTGCTCGGTGTGATGATAGGGATTCGTCTGGGAATGCGGCGACCCCGTCTGCAGCTGCGGTTGTGGAAGATTCTCAGCTCCTTTAGTAGAGTGATGGTGTGGGGTGGAGGATAGCCAGCACCAGACTTCAGCCGGAACAGGTCGGTGCAACGGTATCGCGACACTTGGACGCACATATTCACATCTCTAGCACTCACAGTCGCTGACGCCTTGAAAATACGCACTGTCTTTCCGTAAAAGTACTGAACTGCCTTAAATTAGCTATAAGTCGATGTGATGACCTTGGCTGCTCCAGAGAGCCAGGGGACACATCCTCACTCAGTGAGGTCGGCATGTGCCCGCGTCTGCTCCTAAGACCAGTGTATCAACAATTGTGGTTACTGTAGTTGTGCAATATATGGGTGCATCAGCAAAGCTCAAATCCCAAAGCAGAATACACATCAAGTATTACAGATTTCCCAGAGATAAGGAAGCTTTTGATAAATGGGTAAATGCCTGCTAGCACTCTGATAAAATAAACATCAAATTTGCCCGTGTATGTTTGTGTGTTCTCTCCACTTCAAAGAAAGTGATTACAGACTTGAGTACAGTACAGAGTAAAGAAAGTACAGTTAAAAGTGTCACCAAGAAAAAATACATCACTGTATCTGTATGATACTCAGGTGGTCCTTGCACTCAGGGGTAAAGGAAACACTCTGATGTCAAGTCCGTAAGTTCTATTCCTGGTACAAACACAAAGGAGTTGAGACAAGGGTAAACAGCGTCCTGTCTTGGAATCTCTCTGGGTATCTCTCTGCGCATGCGCGTACAGCACGCATGTGCCCAAAACCTGAACTAACACTTGGTGACAAAAGGGAGTATGATTATAAAACATATAATACAGAGACCTGAATCAATAATGGTAAATAGTACAGTTACATATTACAGCCATATTCGTCTCATATATCTACACCTCCCGACCCCCTCACGGTCGTAGTGCAATCTCGAGCGGACTCTTTTTCCAGGAGCCTTTGAGAGTGACGTGGGAAAACTGGGGGGTCACTGAATGAGGACTTACTTTTCTCGTCCAAGCAAGGGTTCACAGGGATGTGGGGGAGGGGTTCACCACTGGGGGACAGTACTGAACGAAGGAACGGCGATTCTGCCACCATACCCGACCACTAGGGAGACGGACCTCGTAATCCCTGGTCTTGCTGCAGCCCATGACAACCCCGACCTTGTCCCAGCAGTGAGACGTCGGGTCTTGAACCCGAACTGTTTGCCCGATACTCAACCTGGGAAGGGGTCAGGCGTGCTGATCGTACTGTGCCTTTACCTGGTCAGCACGGGCGGCTGCACGACGATCGCAGTCCTCGGTCTTGGCCTGCCACTCCCTCGAGAAGGACTCAGGATGGGCAGGGACACATGACCGTAGTGGGTGGCCGTATAACATCTGTGCTGGGGAGCGACCTGTGAAGTTGGGGTATTCCGCAATTCCAATAAACCCCGGTCAAACTTCTCACAGTCAATGTTGCCTGAGGGTGCCGTCTTGAGGATGAGATGCTTGACGGACTTTACGGCAGCCTCGGCATGTCCATTGGACTGGGGATAATGTGGCGAGGACACCACATGATGAACTCCCCATCGCTCCATGCA